CTGGCATGTGGTGCTGGGGGATTGAACCGCGGTCCCTGATGCTTTTGCTAAGCTTGTTCCAAGTAGGTGCTTTAGACCACTGAGCCATCTCTCCAGCCCAGGCCTGTGTACTTTAAACTGTTGAGACCAGAGAACTTTTGTTTTTGCTTTTGTATTTTTGGGGGACTGAGGATTTCTTCTGAAACATCTATGGCTCCTTATGAAGGTGCAGGCAGCTGCTGGAAGGAATTGGTACTTATTTCCCCTTAACTTGAAAAAATAATATACTTATTTTTATTTGGTGTTAAGTTTAACCTAAAGATTAATCTGTTTCTAATTCTTGGAAAGAAGAAATGGATAAAGACTTCATTAAATCGCCCAGGCTGGGCTTGAACTTGTGATCATCCTACCTCAGCTTCCAAAGTAGAGTGTACCCCTACACCTGCCTCAAATATTTTATTCTTAATATAAAAAACAGGAAAATCTTCACACTGGCTTTCCCACTAATATCTGGTCTCCTCTTTTTCTGAAACAACGTTATGTTTTCAAGGGAAAATGTAACAGAGTTATGCCAAGTCAGCCAGTCAGTAATCCTAGGCATCAGAACTCATTTTAACTGTTGTTATCTGTGTGGCAGGACTGAATGATGATCTGCGCTTGCTCCTTAGTGCAGGCTGGCCTGGAACTTGTTCTGTCGCCTGGGCTGAGCGCCCTCGCAGTCCTCCCGCCCAGGCTCCTGCAGCCCCTGGGTGGCAAGTGTGCGTGGCCGTGTCCAGCTGCTCACGTTCTGCCCTTTTGTTCAGGAGCTGCATCAGAAGGTGAGATCTCTACTCACAGAATCCAGAGGACTCATCATGAAGTTATATGTGTTTCTGGTCAACACCGGAACTACTCTAACATTTGACACCGAACTTACAGTGCAGACGTGAGTTGTGTTTCATTTATTCTCTTCAGTTTTGCATTCTGTGTATATGTGAAATACTAGATGACACTGTCACACTTTTAAAAGGACAAAGAGGGCTAGCCAAATAGCGGATTAAAGTGCCTAAACGCAGGCCTGCTGTGCCAGCCCCACCCCCGGGGCGTGCTGAGCCAGCAATTGAGACTGGGCGTGGTGGCGCGCACCTGTAATCCCCGCTCTTGGGAGGCTGTAAACAGGCGGATCACTGTGAGTCCGATCTAGTAGTGAGACCCTGAGCACCCTGTAGATCCGTCCCTAAAACACAAAAGAAAGAAGATAAGACTAATGACAAATCCTAAATCTTTCAGGTTAACACATCATGTATATAATTGTTGTCAGTCTCAGAAATACTGAATTCTTTAAATGTGTTTTAATCTGGTTGGATGAATATATTATTGCGGTGAACATACTTAACCAAGAAACTGATTTTAGACTGTTGCTGTCATTGTAAGTACCTATGTCCAAGGCTGTTGAGAGTTACACAGGACATTTTCTTTCTTGTAGGATTGAACCCAGGGCATTCACTGAGCTGTATCCTCAGTCCTTGAACTATTACGTTATTGAACAGATGCAGAGTTGTCTGGACTGGGCTTGAACTTGAAGTCTTTGTGGCTTAGCCTCCCAGGGCACTGGGATTGTGGCATATGCCACCAACCTCAGCTTCACAGAACATTGTTAAGGGAATTACTAATAAGCTTTGTGAACCTATATATATATATATATATCACTTCCTTTCTTTTTGGTTGTTTTCTATTCCTTTATATGGTTAAAGTCAATATATTTGTTTTGCTATTGAGAAAGTAAAGGTTAAAATTTTAGCTAAATCAGTGAATCTTGTATCTCTAATCATTCTTCAACCTTGTAGGGATTTCCAGTACTGTATTTGTCTGTTAAATACCCTGTATAACTTGTTAAAACTGAGGAAAGTGCTTGGATCAGGGAGAATATATTTTAAGGCTCAACAAGTAGGAAAAAAAATAAAAATAGTGTTTGTTTGGTTTTTAGATTTTTTTTTTTGAGCCGGCACCCTGCTTTGTTGTCCCCACCTCTCAAGTAATTTGGAACATAAACTCAACCACCAAGACTAGTTGATAACTAAAATAGTTGTGATTTGGTTAGCCAGTATTCTTTGAGAAATGGTAACAAAGAGTGATTTTACTTTTAGAAAAGACTAATTTTCATTAAATGCATGTATCTCTACAGAATAATCTTTTTAAAAGGTAGGAAAAGAAGGAATTTTCATATGGTTTACACTTGGTATAGTTTCTATAATGTCTATAATGTGATGTGAAGATTTTAACAAATTTTGGATTTGTCGGAATTGAACGCCAATTTAAGCATATTCCTTTATTTATATACTATGTAGATTGCTGGTGTAACATAGACTCCATTCTGTAAAGTAAGATCTCCGTGTGTAGTGCAGCCTGGCCTTGAACTCTGTGGCTCAGGTTAGCTTTGAGCGTGGTGGCTCTCCTCCTGTTTCCCTTCGCATGTGCTGGGGCTGGAGGTGTGCACTACCGCACCTCTTTGTTAGATACAGTTCAGCATTAGCATAGTAAGTGGGTGACTCTCCTTAGGTGTGTTCTACATCATCGATCACATTCCTCTGTGGCCCCATAATCTCCTTGATCAGAAAATTCGGGATCCGCTGAGCTACAGGGTGTCACAGCACAGGTTCTCTTATGTCCCGAGTTTTCACTGACCTTAAATGACCAGGGCCAAAATGTTGGCTATCCTTGTAGCCCTTCTTTTTCTCTAATGTTTGGTCTGCAAACTTAGGCTGTTAACCCTCCAGAAGAGAAAACATTCTCTCAGGCTTTCACAGAGAGCAGACTGGTCAAGCAGTGGCTGTGACTTAGCCACATGGCTGATAATGACAAAAAATCTACAAACTTCAGTACAGGGTTTCAGGGTAAATCCTGAGTGGATTTGACTGACCTTGTCAGATACAAAAGTTACATTTCTTATTATATAGGTCTTTATCTTGGTCTTAATCATCCAGCAGAAAAGTATAAAAACAAGATATAAAAAGTAAAGCCATATTAATATGCTGAGCTGTAAAAGGCTCAAGTCAACTTCTGACATAGTCAGTCCTGCGGCTAACCCACTACTATTATGGTCTACTAGACTATATTGGATTATTTTGCTGAATTCACGCACCTACAATATTTAAATGGCCATGGGATACCCGTCTCTGACACAGCTAAACAAAAAAGGGGGATATAAATTAAGGAGCATTTTATAGTTTTATATACATAGACACACACACACACACACACACACACACACACAAAATAGGATAGATAGAGAGCTACTTTCTCTTCAGTGAGAAGAAAGATTTGTACTAATAGTGTTTGGACAGGATATCATGTCTGCACCTTGTACTATGAATAACTACTATGAAGACAACAGTATGCAATTTATTAAGTATTGTAACTGTCTCATGGCTATTTGTTTCTCAATAAGATTAATGAAGAAAATAGAATAGCAAGTGTGGAGCCTAGTAGCTCAAGGAATAGCAACCCTGTGTTTCTAAGTTTTGCTGTGAGACTTACTCGTCCACTGTGTATGTTTTGTGAAGTACTGCTGTAATTCTAAAGTCAGTGGGCAAGTGTAAATAACTGGTTTTCGTTTATTTCCTGAAGTGTGGCAGACCTGAAACATGCCATTCAAAGCAAATACAAGATTGCTATTCAGCACCAGGTGCTGGTGGTCAATGGAGGAGAGTGCATGGCCGCAGACCGACGAGTGTGCACCTACAGTGCCGGGACGGTAGGTGTGCACGGGCGCGGGCCTCCCAAACCGGAGGGAGCCGGGTCGCTCAGAGCAGGCTGGTGGGCTTCGTCTAGCCAGGAAGTGTGTGTGTCCACTACTGCAACGTTTTTGTTTCAGTTACTACTACTTCTTTTTTTTTTTAATATAGGACACAAATCCAATTTTTCTTTTTAACAAAGAAATGATCTTATGTGATCGTGCTCCTGCTATTCCTAAAACTACGTTTTCAACAGAAAATGATATGGAAATAAAAGTTGAAGAATCTCTGATGATGCCTGCAGTTTTTCATACTGTTGCTTCAAGAACACAACTCGCTGTGGTAAGATAGAAAAGTTACCTCCTTAACTCAGCTGTGAAGAGTCTTTTTTTTTTCGGAATTGGGGAAAAAATAGGCCCTTTCTCTTGGCAGGGAAGCACTTATTCTACTGAGCCATCTCTCCGGCCCCCTGTAAAGAGTCTTCTAAACCAATAGGAAATGAGTAGAAGTTCCGTAAATTACCAAAAAGTATTGAAAAAAATACTTTGTAGTTAATACATTTGTTTTTTAAATTTCAGACCCATGCATTATTAGTTAGCCTACATTGACCATTACAGGATTTTAGAGTGAAAAGTCTGCTTTAAATATGACTTGGTCATCTTCTCTTCTAGATGGTGATAATTCTTTGTTTGTACCTGTGTTAGATTAGATATAGAGCTACTCATATGCTTTTTCTTTTTTAATTTATATCACTAATATTATTGACTGCAGGCCATCAGTAGTAAGCTGTATTTTACTTTCATGTGTGGAAGAAATATGTCTGAGGACTAACGTAATAATAGTATTTACCAGGGCCGGGGAGACGGCGCAGTGGAATCAGCACTTCCCTGGCAAGCGCAAGAGCCTGAGTTCAATCCCCGGTTCCTCCAAAAATGAAAAAATAATAGTATTTACCTTTTATAAAAATAGATAACAAGTACTAAGCGTATCATTAATAAAACTGTAGTGTTGTACAGTGGGGACCCGAAAGTGACAGGGATTACATTTCCTGAGCACCCATGAATTTCAGGTATGGTCACAGAAATGCTGATAAATGTCTATAGTTTAAACCCTAAATATGCTGTCTCCTGCAGTTATGTAGTTAAATTTAATAGAATGCTATATTAGTAAAGCCTTAGAAGGTGCAGGGCATTTTGGCAGCATCTTAGGGTCTCAAGAACAAAACTGAGAACAGCCAGCTGAGGTACTCAGCAGACAACGCACCTGCTTAGGCAAGCACGGGGACCGGGACTGATCCCCTGCACCACATGCTGTACTGCGGGTCACCGAGACAGGCATGGTGGCACACACCTGTAATCCCAGCACTTGGGAGGCTGAGAACAGGAGGATCACTATCAGTCTGAGCTGCAGAGCAAGACCCTATACCATATATACATTTAAAAAAAATTTAAAAAGACAGCTGTGCACAGCGCAGCAGCCTGTTAGCGTGCGGGATGCTGGTGCACGTGCTGAAGTCCTTCAGGTATTTTGGGGCGATGAGTATCTGGAGGTTGAGCCCCCTGGCTTTGCACTTTTAAAATCCCTTATCTGGAATCAAGGTTTTGCTAAGATGCCTCATCTGGGTCCAAAGTTGTGATGTTCCTGCGGCCTCCAATAGTGCAAGAACTAGTATACTCCTACAGTTAAAAACAGGCATTGCATTTAATTGGAGAAAATATAGTGTTAAGTATGATCGGACATAAAGTTCTCAAGTGCTTAGAGAATAAAGAGCAAAGAAAATGTCAATCTACAGAAGGATCCACTTATCGGAAGTCTTTTAAGTACAAGCTGGCATGATTTCTCTACTAATGCATGATAATAAAAAAGATTGAAGTAAGAAAGAGGAGCTATTGCTACTGAGATCCCAAATTAGCATTTTGAGATTCAAGTAGCAGAAAATGTAAAAATGGTCATTGTCCAGCTAAATGTGGTGCAAGTCTGTGATCCTGGTACAGCTTGGAGGCTGAGGCAGGAGGAATCACAAAGGTAAGCCAAGCAGAGGCAAATGAGGAATACAGCAGGCTATTTCAAAATCAAAAAGAGCTATAAACGTACTCACACGAAGACCCTGGGTCTGAACACGAGTTATCACACACACACAAAGGTCTCCGCATTATATCGAAAGCAAGAAAAATACAAAATACTGGGCGAGCCTGAGTTACCTTGTACAAGTGTCTGATGGTGCAGGAAGAAGTATGCAGAGTGTTGAAAGCTCGTCCATGGGAAACAGTAATAACAAGGTACTCTGTAAAAATAATCGTCAAGATCGAAGAGAGTGGCAGTGCAAATCCTGTTGTGAGAACATCTGGTGGTACATAGGGACAAGTCAAAAGGCCATTCGGAGTATGTATTTTACCCAGGCAAAATCGCGAGAAGTAGGAAGAAACAAGGGGATGGAGGGGAGGAGAGGACATTGCTGGTATTCGGAGGGGGACTTGAAAAGTAGCTAGAAGCTCTAGGAGTGAATCATAATTTCATTTCTCTAGCAAACAAATTTAAATGGGAAATAGTAGAGACACTAAAATGAGTGCTAAATAGTAAATGTTGATTTATACAGTTAACCAAATATCTTCTAAACCATAGATTACTGTACCCTCTTTTGGACTTTATATAAATGGAGTCATACAGTACATGCCTTGAGGCTGACCTTGTGACTCGCCATTGTTCCTGAGAATTTTTCCATGCCATTGCATGTATCAGTGGTTATATTTATTGCTGCGTGCCATTCCACTGTTTAAATACGCCGGCGGTTATCCCAGCTACTAGCATAGGTTGCTCTCGGGGACTCTTGTGTACAGTGAACCTTCTACAGTGTTGGGTGCATTTTTTTGTGTTTTGCATTTCTCTGCATCTTGTATCTGAGCTGTGCCTGTAATTCAGCTTTTTGTGCCTTTTTTTTTTTTGAGTGTGCGTGTCCATTTACACCCAGCCAGGCTCACCCACACCCCCCGCAGCAGTGTGAATGTTCGCTTCCTTCCGGGCTCCTAATTTTAGCTGTTAGGATAGGTGTGTACTGGAGGCCATCTTGGTTTAGTTTGTTTTCTTTGGTCACTAGTGATTGTGGCGTTTTCCCATCCGTGAGCCACTTGGTCATCCACTTTGGGGTGTGCCTCTCAGCTGCTTTGACTGCTCGTTAGCGGGTTGCCGAGTTCTCTGGGTTTTTGTAGCTCCTCTCATACAGCCCTCGTGTAAGTTCTTCATTGGTTTCATATGAGAATACCTTTGCCTCCTTGACTCTGAGTGCCCTGTGATGGTTAGGAATTCCTATTTAATGTCCGTTTGTTAATAATCTTGGCCTTAGGTGCTTTCAAGATTTCTGTTTTCTTTTGCGCTCACTCTGAAGTGCTGGGAGAAGAGCCAGTGTAGACATTGCAGTGCGTCTGCCATGTAGCCTTCCAGGGCTGCCTTGTCTTTTTCACCCTGACACCTCATTGTGTAAGTTGCCACACTTAATTTTGAGGTAATGGTATAAAAATGGAAAATTATGAATTTAGGACCCTCCTTTTAAAATTTAATGCTATCTTGGTGTTCCCAGATGCAAAGACATTTCACTTTTTAAAATGGCTACATTATTTTGTCATACTCATGTAAGGAATTTGATAAGCATTGAGCTTTCTTTTTCATTGTATATCATCAAAGAATCTTCTAGTATTTTTGTTTGTTTTAAGCAAGATAAATTCTTAGAAGAGAACTCATGGTGCCACATGATGGGTTAGTGAATTTTTTTAATTGCTCCTGAGTCGGGTACACAGAATCTCACTAGTACGCACTTCGTCCGCACGGAGGACATGTTGCCCTTCCTTCCTGCTGTCACAGCTTGGGGCATCACCAAACTGGAGCTGACAGTTTTTTGTACTTTCACTTTTCTTGAGTTGAGTATCTTTTCATAGATTAAAATCCACGTTATTTTCCCCGGGGGTGTTAGTATCTATACTCCTGCCCTTAGCGCCCTGTCTGCCTCTTATAGTTACTTTGTCAACTCTGTGTGCTGCCACCAGCACCACCACCACCGACAACAACCACAACACATGCGCATCCGTGCACGCGTGCGCACACACACACACACACACACACACACACATCATAGGGTTAGAGAAATATTCTTAATTCAGAATAGATATATTTATTCCCCGTTTATGTATTTATCTCATATTTTTGTTTAAGGTGTAAGAATACTTATATTCCAACTTGCCACCCAGTTATATTGATACCACTTACTAAATAATAATAGAACTTTTACCCATTCAAAAATGACAGCCATATATAGTACTACAATAAATTCTGTGTGTTTTCATTTAAATTTTGTTCTCAGTAATTGTATGGATTTATTTATTTAAATTGTATTTGGTTGTTACAGGGTCTCACTAAGCAGCACAGACTGGTAGTGATCCTCCTGTTTTAAGCCTCCCAACACTGGGATTATAGGCATGTGCTACCACGCCCAGTGTCAGTGGCCGGTGCTGCATGTGGTGCTGGGGATCGAACCGTGGTCCCTGCACTTGCTTAGGCAGGCAATTCATTTTTTCCCCTCTTATTTCTTTATTGCAGTACAGGGGATTGAACACAGGGCCTTGCGCTTGCCAGGCAAGCCCTTATTCTACTAAGCTATCTCCCTGGCCCAAGGCAGGTGATTTAGTCCACGGAGCTATCTCACTGGCCCCAATTATATGGATTTATGTAGGGGAAATTATTTTATTAAAGTTACTATTTGTAAAAGGGCTTTGTATTTCTTTTTATATACTGGAAAGCTTCTGATTTATATATTTATACCCACATTTTTCTTTTTTACATTCTTGTATTAAAAATATTTGTCATAGTTCTGAATCTTGATTCCATCTTACCCTATTATTTAAGAAATTTTTGCATTTTTATTTTTATTTATTTAATTTTTTTTTGGCAGAACCAAGGATTGAACTCAGATCCTTGTGTTTGCCTGTCAAGCACTTATCCTACTGAGCCATCTCCCCGGCCCCTGCATTTTTAAAGTGAGCAATATCTCATGTTTTAATGTGGAGATACATTTTACACAACATAGCAAACCCTTCTTTATAGTTCCGAGTCCTCCTGGCATCTTGTGAATTGCGTAGCCATTATGTTGTTGCTTAATACATACTAAGGTTTTACATATCATCTTTGTGTCCTTCTTTTGAGTGTGTGTGTGTTGCGGGGCGGTCTTGGGATGCTGAACTCAGGACCTTGCGGTTGCCAGGCAGGCATTTATGCCCCTGAACTGTGTTCCTGGCCCTTCATCTTTGCGTCTTAAAACATTCTTTTCTTCATGATTTGGAGTTACCGGTATTGTT